GATACAGGGCTTTAGAATATTGATACAGTATCAGGAAATGAAATATCGCGATATTTCAGTGTATCGATATTTTCTTACACCCCTATTAGTGAGGTGATCTGAATTTAAAACCCAGCAGACAGTGGGTGATATTCCTGAAGAATACTAGGTCCTTAATGAAAGTATTTATCTCTGTAGCTTTCCTTGTGATTTGTTTTTGTGCTACATGAGAGCCAAGTGTTTCACAGAGCTGTCTTACAGCAACAGAACTGTCTGAAGATTTGTGTCCAGTTCAGACTACTGTTCAGCCCCTTTCTTTTCTTAATAAATGAGTTATGGTGTTGGGATGAATTGGAAAGGCTGGTTTCCTCAGCAGGCAGTCAGAGGTGGTTTCCTCCCTTTGCTACTCTTTTATTAACAGAGCTTTGTGGTGAGGAGGGCCTCTTAAATGAATGCTGCCTGTTCTCATTGAAGGCCTCTGAAATTGTGTTTTGAAAGCTCCCAGGCGTAATGAAACAGACAGCCACAAACCTTGGAGAGCACACTTGAAACAGATCTCATTAGATCTTTCTCTGCCTCTTAGACGTTCTGACTTTTCTTATTAAATTGTAAAGCAACAGGCTTTATTAACAATATGTCAAGTTTTCATTCAGAATATAAACTATAGAGTGATAGGGCTATTGGATCTACTTTTTAAACTAAATATTTTTACAGCTAGATAACTGTTCTTGTTTTTTATTTCCTTTTTTCTTTTCCTTTCAGTCTAGACGTTCAAAATGAGAGCCGTTTGCTGCCACAACTGACGTCCAAGTGCACTGAACACAACCATCAGTCCTGACCTGGCAACATACGAATGGCCCAGGGAAGCCATCGGATTGACACTCAGGTTTTACACGAACTGCGTCAAAAGTTCCCTGAAGTCCCAGAAGGTGTTGTTTCCCGCTGTGTTCTGCAGGTAAACAGGCTTCAAAATCTCTGACCACAAAAAACTGATGTCTGCAAAATGAAGTCTGACTGAACAACAAGAAACATTATTGGATATATTCCTAAACATCACTGATATCTGACCCGTCACATCGAAACCAGGATTAGGTCCAAAAGTTGTATAAGGAGAAAAAGGCAAATATACTGTAGTGTTTTGACTAAAATGTTAACAAAAATAGCATTTTGTTTAAAATATAATGAATAAAAGTCTTATTAATGTATCATTTGAATGAACTGTTTGAAATATAATCATAAAACTAAAATTTGAAGCATTTTTTGAGCAGTAGCAACAACAAACTGATTTTGAGGAAAAACACCTTAAAATGTTGAGATTTTCCCTGTGAGTTAGTAAAGTTTTGTTTCTTTTTATCTGGTAAATCTCAATATTCAAATATAATTTGAGGTTTCCTCTTTATAAGGACATCAAAATTTCCTCATTAAAATGACACAAAATTAGGATTCAGACCAAAAATTTATGTATTATTGTAACCAACAAGACAAATTAAGTCATATATATGGATTTAATGATGATATCAGAATGATCCAGGTATCAAAATGTAGCTTTTAAAGACAAGAATCTGAAAATGTAATTAGGTCATTTTGACCAAATTTGACTTAATCCTCATTTTGATATGATGGATCACATATATTATTGTCTGATTTCTTGTAAACTATTTAGACCATAATATAGGCCTCAAAATCCTGCAGTAGGTTGGAGATCTACATCCAAGTATTAGTCCTAACATGGTTACACATTTATACAAAAATAACAATCTATGTTTGAATAAAGCTCATTATATACCAAGAGAAATTAAACTTTAATTAATGCATAATTTTATTTGGTTTGTAGTTTGAGATATTCTTATTAATATTGTAGTGTTATACAACAGCATAAACAGCCAATTTAATTTAATTTAACCTATTTATATCATTATTCTACATTATTACATTTGAAATTATAATTCCAATTCAATCAGTCTTTTGTCAACATAATTATGGAGTGTGATTTATTTTCAACTCTAAATATCTTCAAACTAATGAAATATAAAGTTATTAGTGAAGAAAACCCGTCTGGATAACAGCAGACTGACTGCTGGTAAAATATACGACAGGTCTGGACCACTCCTGAATTTTGTTCGTATCTGAAAAAGAAATCTTACAACAAAGTTGGTGAATGCCATAAATTATCCTAAATCATTCGTACGCACAGCTTAAGAACAAATGTTTTTGTACGAATGTTTCTTGCACGAGGCCCAGTATTTTATTGACTATAACTCACACTTCAGTTGTGAACGGAATAAAAACAGAATAAACAGAAAAAATGTTTGTCTTTGTGTCTATGGTGTAATAATAATGATGTGATTGTGATGCTGTATTTCTGAGTGTTTTATGTGCTGCAGAACAGGAACCTGCTGTAAAACAGCAATTATAGTCAGGCTTGATTTTCAGTAATCTTTTCCTGTTAAATCAATAAATCAAATCAAAATCAAAAGCAGAAACACGTTTTAAGTGATTTTGCTAAAGTAATTTCTAATCATTCTGACTTTAAACATCAATGAACGGTCTGAGTTGGATGGTTTTTGAATGTTTGAATTCTATGTGAAATTGGAGAATTTGTATAACTGGTAAATTTTTTTCTCCTTCACGAGTGTCGGTACAAAGAAAGGTACACTGCAGATGCTAATGCACTGTATGGATCTGGTTACTGTACCACAAACACCACACTGTATGTGACGCACCAAAGAAAAACTTCACCTTAAATTCCCAATGGGAGTGGCTCTACCATCCTAACTCTGACTGTTAGAGCAGGAAGATGACCCAGACATTTTAGTCCAAGGGTAAAAGCATTCAGTGAGCCTCGTGTCTCAGTCTGCAGGAGGGTTAATGCACATCTATATGGGTTGGGTGTATATGTGAAATGTTTTGTTTCATGCCATGTTCTGCATTTAAAATGAGGAGTTTAAAACAGTAAAATGCAAAATGTTTAAAACGTTAACTTTGTTACAGACGTGTATTTCTGTTAGCAGTTCCTTAATAAGTCATATTGTTCAAAAAGGCACAATTGTTGCTTTTCATCTTGTTTTTGCACTTAGGAAAACACTGCTGTGTTCAGACTCAAAATAAAGAGTTTGCTTCTTGTTATTAGATTGTGTGTTTGACACTCATCAGGTTCCAATCAGCTTAAATAACAATAAACAGTTAGAATGGATACGATGCAAGGATTTGTCTTAAAGGGATCCATGATTAGTTGTAACATTAGACTTTATTTAATAAACATTTATTTTAACTGTAAAATAAAGACTGTAAAAATACTGTAGGATGTTTAGTTTTTATCATTTTTAAACCAAAAGTTTAAAAATATATTTTAACACGGACGGAGCCATTTTATTTGCACACAAAGCATTCTGGGTAAATGATGACGTGGATAGGTCCTCGGTGCGAGGCTGCTAGCGAGCTACACTCACCAGCCACTTTATTAGGTACACCACGCTAGTAATGGGTTGGACCCCCTTTTGCCTTCAGAACTGCCTCAATTCTTCGTGGCATAGATTCAACAAGGTGCTGGAAGCATTCCTCAGAGGTTTTGGTCCATATTGACATGATGGCATCACACAGTTGCCGCAGATTTGTCGGCTGCACATCCATGATGCGAATCTCCCGTTCCACCACATCCCAAAGATGCTCTATTGGATTGAGATCTGGTGACTGTGGAGGCCATTTGAGTACAGTGAACTCATTGTCATGTTCAAGAAACCAGTCTGAGATGATTCCAGCTTTATGACATGGAGCATTATCCTGCTGAAAGTAGCCATCAGATGTTGGGTACATTGTGGTCATAAAGGGATGGACATGGTCAGCAACAATACTCAGGTAGGCTGTGGCGTTGCAACGATGCTCAATTGGTACCAAGAGGCCCAAAGAGTGCCAAGAAAAGATTCCCCACACCATGACACCACCACCACCAGCCTGAACCGTTGATACAAGGCAGGATGGATCCATGCTTTCATGTTGTTGACGCCAAATTCTGACCCTACCATCCGAATGTCGCAGCAGAAATCGAGACTCATCAGACCAGGCAACGTTTTTCCAATCTTCTCTTGTCCAATTTCGATGAGCTTGTGCAAATTGTAGCCTCAGTTTCCTGTTCTTAGCTGAAAGGAGTGGCACCCGGTGTGGTCTTCTGCTGCTGAAGCCCATCTGCCTCAAAGTTCGACGTACTGTGCGTTCAGAGATGCTCTTCTGCCTACCTCGGTTGTAACGGGTGGTTATTTGAGTCACTGTTGCCTTTCTATCAGCTCGAACCAGTCTGCCCATTCTCCTCTGACCTCTGGCATCAACAAGGCATTTCCGCCCACAGGACTGCCGCTCACTGGATGTTTTTTCTTTTTCGGACCATTCTCTGTAAACCCTAGAGATGGTTGTGCGTGAAAATCCCAGTAGATCAGCAGTTTCTGAAATACTCAGACCAGCCCTTCTGGCACCAACAACCATGCCACGTTCAAAGGCACTCAAATCACCTTTCTTCCCCATACTGATGCTCGGTTTGAACTGCAGGAGATTGTCTTGACCATGTCTACATGCCTAAATGCACTGAGTTGCCGCCATGTGATTGGCTGATTAGAAATTAAGTGTTAACGTGCAGTTGGACAGGTGTACCTAATAAAGTGGCCGGTGAGTGTATATCCACCCTGAAGGTTAATCTTGGACAATATCTGATGATCGACTCTTTTAAATGAAACCAGAGAGCATTGACAGAGAGGAGAAGGTAGAAATGACTCAGCCTGGAACTGAAAATATGGATGGAGGACAACAGGTTAGCTTGATTGTCGCGCTAGCGCGACAATCAAGCTAACCTGTTGTCCTCCATCCATATTTTCAGTTCCAGGCTGAGTCATTTTGTGTTCCCCTCTCTGTCATGTGGATGGAGGACCTCAGTGATGAGAGGAGAATGTGTAGCGCTGAGCTAATACATATATATGGTGATAGTATCGGGGCTAATGCTAACAGGCTAATCTGAGGTTGTTCTTCCATGAAGCAGCTCTGTTGTCCTCCATCCATATTTTCAGTTCCAGGCTGAGTCATTTCTACCTTCTCCTCTCTGTCAACGCTCTCTGGTTTCATTTAAAAGAGTCGATCATCAGATATTGTCCAAGATTAACCTTCAGGGTGGATATAGCTCGCTAGCAGCCTCGCACCGAGGACCTATCCACGTCATCATTTACCCAGAATGCTTTGTGTGGAAATAAAATGGCTCCGTCCGTGTTAAAATATATTTTTAAAAATGTACAAAATTAAACATCCTACAGTATTTTTACAGTCTTTATTTTACAGTTAATATGTTTATTAAATAAAGTCTGATGTTAAAACTAATCATGGATCCCTTTAAAGTTTCATCTCAGACAGGCTTCAATGAACATATCCTTAAGAAGCGTATCTAAAAAAATCCACTTTTTTTGTTTGAGATAATTAATTTGAGATAATTAATGTGAGATAATTAATCTGAGATAATTAATGTGAGATAATTAATCTGAGATAATTAATCTGAGATAATTAATCTGAGTATCTGAGGTCAGTTTCACCTCCAGAACCAGAGGAACACAGAAGTATCTTCAGCTACTTGATGAAATGATGGATGCTCATTGTTAAAACCCTCAGGTTGTTGAAGAAATGAATTTGATTTTCTGTTTTTGTTGCAGAATAACAACAACTTGGACGCCTGCTGTGAGTACCTGTCCCAGGTGAGTCCAGGCTACCTGTGCAGCGAAGAAGGAACAGTGAGTCTTCCTGAAGAGCCCGGCTTCCCTAGGCTTTGTAATCACATGACCCAGCTGAACCTGGGCTTGCAGTGTCAGAATGTGCATGTGGCCCCAGCTCGGGACAGCTCGAGAATGAATGGCAGCCGGACTTTGGCCCACAGCCTGAGTGACGGGCCCCTCCTGACAGGCCAGGCCTCCTTCCAGCAGGAGCCCGAGTCGGCCACGGTGCAGGTTCCCTCCTCTCTTAATGTTTATGGTGTGATGGAGCGTCAGCAGCCACCTCCTCAGCACCACGTCCTCTGCCCTCTGGGTGCAAAAGGAGCAGCGATGAGTCCTCAGCACACGCCTCGCTTCAAGCCCATCACCGTGACCCTGGCACCCAACCTTCAGACGGGCCGCAACACGCCCACCTCTTTGCTCATACGCGGGGGGCCGCAGTCAGGCCTCAGCAGTCCACAGGGTAACTCCATCTACATTCGTCAGTCCAGTACGGCCCGGCAGGGCCAGCAGCAGGGGGGCAGGGCTCAGTTCAGCCCCATCTCTCAGCCCCAGCAGCAGACCTCTCATGTCTACATGCCCATCTGTTCCCCCACTAACCCCCAGGCTCCCTCCGTCTTCCCCGTTGGAAGCCAGGCGTCCTCCAGCGGCGTCTCCTCGTGCTCCTCTTCCTCCTCTCTCATGCCCACCTCCCTGTCCAGCATCAGCCAGTACAACATCCAGAACATCTCCACCGGGCCTCGCAAGAATCAGATCGAGATCAAACTTGAATCTCCTCAGAGGAGCGGTTCTGCCACAGCTGTGCTGCGGACCAGCAGTGGTCCCCGTTCCTCCTGCTCCTCCTCTGCCTGCCCCTCCTCCTCCTCCTCCTCTTCAACAGGGATGGCTTCTGTCCCCATCACTCCACAATCCATGGGAGGTCCGGGCTCGAGGTGCAGCCAGCCCACCGTTTTCATCTCTGCCAATTCTCCTACAGCTGCTACCGCTCCCGGTGAGGAGGCCATGATGGCGCCCGCCGGCTCCCGCTCCCAACCCAAGTTCTACATTTCTGCTAACGCCTCCAGTGACGACAGCGGAGCCAGGAATCCTCCTACAGTCTACATCTCAGCTAACGCTCCCCTGCAGGGACCCTCAGGAGCAAGAAACATGGGGGGCCAAGTGAGCATGGGCCCTGCCTACATTCACCACCACCCCCCCAAGTCCCGATCCTCTGTGGGAGGTGGAGGCACAGCTTCGTCCCCCCGTGTGGTGGTGACTCAGCCCAACACCAAATACACATTTAAAATCACAGTGTCTCCTAACAAACCCCCCGCCGTGTCTCCCGGAGTCGTGTCCCCCACCTTTGAGCCCAACAACCTCCTCAGCCTACCTTCAGACCACCACTTCGTGGAGCCGGAGCCCCTGCATCTTTCAGACCCACTGTCGCCACACAGCGAGGGTCCGAGTGAGCCTCGCAGGCTCAGCGTGGGTTCTGATGATGCAGCCTACACACAAGGTGAGCAGTGTTTGGTACTGACAACCATTTTGGTTTGGTTCTCCAGAAAGAATGGCACTAATGTGTAAAAAAATAATAAAATGTGCACTCACAGGTCACCTGTAGTGACACATTTCAGATCATAAAAAGGTTTGTTAAAGTTAAAGCAGGGGGTAGATACAAAACAATACTTGTACAGTTTGATTGTTTTGTGTTGTTTAAAAACACATTGCCTGATATGTTCACACAGGCCCACCTCCACCTTTAGTACACACTTGTGCAGCCATTTAATAAATATTTTACAGAAGTTAAATGAAGACAGACAGCTTTACAATAGTTTCTTCAACATATATTATTTAATGTAAGCTTACTTTATAGACCTGAATTAGTTTTCTGTCAGAGCTGCTGTGTGTCAAAACACAACTACACACTCTAAGAAGGGTAGGAGATTCTCACATTTGTATTCTGATACTATTTGGAGAGAAAATTTCTCACAAATTTATTAAAAATTATTTAAATTGAAGTGTTAACACTCAGGGTTCCTGCAGATCCTTAAAGTCCTTGAATTCATCAATCCAAAAATAAGGCCTTAATTAGCCTTAAAATGTCTTAAACCAATCTGTCAGAAGTCTTAAAAATGTTAACACATTGTATTTAGGATGATTGTAATTCATCTCAAATATTAAAATAATTGGTAACATTTATTGTTTTATAATATTCACATGCAAACATTCCCCTTTGACATCACTTCCTGTTACTTCACATGAAAATATCTCAACAACTTTCCATCTGAGCAACGAGAAATTCATCTTGTAATATGTTAATGCTGTCTTTTCAAAAATGCATTAACTGTTCTTACAGATTTTGATGTCACTTTAAGGTTTCATCTGCAGCAAATTGGGGTTAAGACCCCACTGTGGGTCCTAAAACCACAAATTTTGGGTCGTTAAACTGACTGATAAGAATGTTTTTGCTATATTTGATGAAAAATCAGTTCGATCTGGATAAAAACAGTTGGTCTATTATCAATATTTGAATACTTCAACCAAAAATACTTTGATTCGTGAGTTTCTTCTACAGTTTTATTTTTTATCATGTTTGTGTTTATTATGAAATTGGTCTTAAATTTAATTTCAGTTGGCATTAAAAAGTCTTAAATTGAACTTTGTTTAAACTGCAGGAACCCTGGCACTGTGAGCCACTTTAACTCATACTTTCAGCAGTAGCATCAACCACAGCCTGGTTGTCTTCCTCCTCCAGGTGGAGACGTCTTCATGACTCGTGTAAACATACTTTTTTCTCCTTTTTGCTTCATAGAAGCTGAAGTTCTCCCAAACACTGGCTCTCAGTTAGGGTTGGGTAAAAATATTGATTCAGCAGTGCATTGCAATATATTTATATTTTTACCAATTCAGTATCAAATAAGTGTGGTGATTTAGGGGAAAAAAGAGCCAAACCAGTTGAAATGAAAGGTGAGGTTGTGTTGTGCTAACAGCCACCATGTGAGTGTGCACTGTCTAAGTTACTCTCAGATGCTTGAATAAAACTAAATGAAAAAACAGGAACAATAGCTGTGTTTACATGCACAAAATTCTTTGATCGGATTTAAATGTATTCAGATTAAATAATCTGAACGTATCGACTCGTGTTTACATGCACCAGGCTTTTATTCAGAAGAGAAGCACTGACGTGCAGTTGTTAACTTTCCCTAAATAAAAACAAAACTGAAAAAAGTTCTACTTCTGTCATGAACATAAACAAACATCTTCTGAGCTCAGAATGGACCTGCGACAGGTTTTATCAGTGGTGGCACCAGCCCTCTGAAGCACAAATCCACTAATTGCGGACCTAAATATTTCATTTGTGCTTTAGCGATCTTACTAATTTTTATAATTCATAAACAGATTTGCACTTTCTAAAATTAAGACGCAAAACTGTAAGAAATATACGTGTTCAATAACGACTGAAGTCAGATGAAAACACAAGTGTTAAATAAGATGATCTGTGATAGAAATATTGCCATACAACACCAGAATTCTGGAGTGAGGGGTTTATTCAGCCATGAGCTGAGCGAGTCAACCACACACACTGAAGTCATAACAGGAAGTG